TCCTGTCTCAGCCTAGGGTCTGCTGCACAGCAATAAACAGTACAAGTGAGGCAGCTACAAAAGGGAGACTCTCTTGCTACACAGCTGCTTCTTCTTTGGGCTGCAAAGGTCAAGCTTGAGTAGCACAGGGACATGTGTAAAGGGGAACATGGGTTCTGTGGACAAAAAGCAGCCACATGCTAACCTGACAAGTTCAGGGAAGGCCTGCGTGGCGGCCTTGCAAACTCAGAGACCTAAAGTAACCAAAGGATGGTCTGAATTAAAACTTTTTTTAACTAAAAGCAGTTTATGGCAGATAGTCATGTCCTAGGCTAGAATTTTCCCCGACAAAAGTTAATCTTTACCTTAACTGAGCCCGTCTATTGTCTTTGCATCTAGGATAACCTTTGGATGTCAAGGTAACTTCCCTCAGGCAGTTGGCTTCCTCCCTGGAGTGGCTGAGGTGAAGTGGGGGCAGAGGTAGGGGCTCCCATCTTAGTCTGATAGGGCTGCTGGCTGGCCTGGCTCCACCCCAGCAACCTAGACCGGCCAGGACTAGGCAGGCAAATTCACATCTAAACCAATCTCTAGTGACCACACAGCTGACCATGAGGGGACACCAAAATAAAAGGTTATTACCATCTCTGCTCCCCAAAACTCATGGCCTAAAGAAGTTAATAAAACCAAGGCCTGCTAAATGAGTTTTGTACCCTTTACATATATTGCCTCATTCCATTTCCCATTACCACTCTAGGAGGGCTCTTTTATTACCTCAATCTGACCAATAAGAAATAGGTCAAGGAACTTCCCAAGATCCTAGAGCTGATATGGTCGACTCCCCTACTCCTGACCAGGACAATGCCAACCGTAGCTCAAGGGAAACCTCCGGACTCCCAAATGAGTGCAGTCATCTCCCTTCTGGAAGAGGCAGGTGTCAGCTAGGACTAAGGAGTGGGGGAAAGGGGCCACCAAGACCCTGGGCTCTAACCCCTTTCAGTAATTCCAACAGCCCAAGGCCTTTCCTCAAGGTCTGCCCTTCTACCAGAGCCTCAAGCTCCAAAACTGCCCTTCCCTCAGCCAGCCATAGGCCAGGCCCTTCACGGTTTAGAACTCAATAATCTGAATCATAGCCTGGGCCCAATAAGGCGTCCTTTACTAATTAATTGAAAATAATAGAGTATTCATTGGAGGGTGGGAGGCTTATCCATAAGTGGATGCTCTGGCCAAGTAAAGTCTAATAAAAAACCAAAGTAGCCCCAGCTGGCCGGGTAGCTCAGTTGGTTAGAGCATCACCCCAATATGCCAAGGTTGTGGGTTCGATCCCTGGTCAGGGCACACACAAGAATTAACCAATGAATGCATAAACAAGTGGAACAACAAATCAATGTCTCTCTCTCTCTCAAATCAATAAATAAAAATTCCAGGAGAAAAGCCACTGGACAATTCGCAAAATAGAACTGGGACTCTGGGGTTCAGGGCACAACTTTCATCGTAGGAAGGCAAGGAACCCTACCTATGGTGTGCGTTCCATGGCTCACAGAGGCAGGAAGCCAGCTCAGAGGCAGGAATAGACAGCCTATGGCTAAGCGCTCACTGGCGGAATCCGATCAGGGCTCTGGGTCTCCTGACTGCTGAGCGAGCCGCATCCTTCTCCCAGTGGCCCAGGCCTCAGTCTACCATCCTCTGGGGCCGGTTTCACACCCTGTCCTCGGAAAACTCCTCACTGACACCAAGAACCAAACCAAAGAGAGGTGTGGCTTCAAGGAGACGTGGGCTAAGGGAGCAAAGAGAGAACTTGAGCAACACCATCAAAGGGCGCGTCAAACAGCACCAGTGGAGTTGAGCAGACTCCACTTTCTGCCTTTTAGGAAACTCCAAACCCTAAGTCTACCTCTCCCCCTAAGGACTGACTCACCCTGACATAGCTCTTTAAGCTTCTCTAACCTCATTTAACTCCTACAATAGTCCTAGGAGAGGAGGATTTTACAGAGAAGATGGAGGCTCAGTACAAACAGAACCCAGGTAGGGAACAGCATTCTCTGGTTTCCTCTTTCCAAGTCCTGTGCCTTTCACCAGACCAAACTGCCTCAAGTCTTTGGTTCAACAAGTTTTAGGCAAGCTTATTACTTATAGACCCTTAAGAGGCACTCAGAAACTCCTTTTATCAAATAAGGTTAAAATTAACAAGAAGCCAGCTTGCCAAAAACCTCTGTTGCCCCAAGTAGCTGAGGCCAGGTCCTTTCCATGGTACCAATTTCAGGGCTGTCCTTTCTTAAATGTTCTAATACACAGTTAGGAAGGAATTGTTATGGTTGTTTTGGTTTGTTTGTGTTTTTTTTCCCCATTATACAGCCTAGCCCTCTAACTATGTCCAATTTCACTTCCTCCAGAAACCAAGGAAGAAATAAAAGAGAAAAATAGCTTGAGACTTACATTAAAAGAAGAAATGGATGATCCGGCTTCACCGCTTTCGAAACACTCCACCCATCAGTAAACAGCAACCTCCTTTCCTTAGTGACTTCTCAGCCATTCCCAACAGCCTCCACGCTATGGCCTGAGTCCAATCCTGTACCTGGCTGTTCAGAACAACAGCCTGGAGTTTAAGCCATCCAGCTACTACAGTACCAGTTGATGAATCATGGTTTTCAGTTGGAAAAAAATGACAAAGTTATCTTCTGATTCAGAAAGGCAGCTGATCTTTCAGCCATGTGAATGATGAATGAGTGAACAGCACCTCCTTCTACATGAAGAAAATCGGATTTCTGGTTCAGTGTCCTGTGGCCGGTGTGCTGGGAGAACTAGGCTTTTGAAGCAACTGAATACCAGCTGGGGGGCGAGAAACTTCTAGCTTGTGATTCCCAGACCAAGGGCTAGTGGGTGAGGCCAGAAATGTGAAGTCAGTTAACACTGGCTATCTTTTTTCCTCCCCCTTTCCTTCCATCCAATAACAACCATCTCCTCAATATCCTTGTCCCTTAGGAGTCTAGCAAGGGCCAAACTCTGAACAAATAAAAACAGGTACTTTGCCCAGTTCATTCACCCTTGCATTTCTAGTGCCTAGAACAGTGCATGGCACACAGTGGTGCTCAGAAAACATTTGCTGAATGAAATGATGAGTACAATAAAAATAAGGCTCAGGGCAGGTCTCTCCATTTCACAGATTCCTGGAAAACTCCTTCCATTAGACCAAGCTGCCAACAGGCTGAAAACCATTCTGATCTATTACACCTTAATGGGGAGATATTGGAGGTAGAAGGGCATTCAGTTTTCAAAGGAACAGAACTATAAATGGCAAGCAAAGACAATGATTCTGTTTGGGGCCCTTTAAAATGGCTATCAACTGGTCAACCCTCTGAAACCAGATCACCAGAATTTGGAGGGAACATGCACTCTAAAAGTCCAGTTTATAAATGCTGAGCATGGGGCCTGGGTGGCTCAGGAATGTACCTCAGCTACTCTGAAATAATTTAGCTCTGTGTTCATAGGTAAGTAACCAAGGTAGCCAAAAATCGATGATGTAATCCCTGCAAAAAGAGGAAGCGATTCAACAGCCTCCATACTCATCTAGGCCTCAGCCTCCCCAGGACCCATTCACCTACACCCTTTACAACATGTAACATCACCTCTGGCCCCCATAGTGTTCCCTCTGTTCAGTGTTGGGAATGATCTGTTTTCAGATCTGGTGTACAGGAGCACTCTGTGAGGGTCCTTTCCAAGTGCTAGGACAACACACATGGACATGGTTCTGTAACCAAAGCCAGTCCCGCACAGTGGAACTTCCTGAGTTTCTTCAAGGCCAGAACACCAGCCAAAAGGAAGTGATGGCTTCTGTTGTCCCAGACTGAATGAAATGGATGAGTCACCATTCCTCACCTACTAGGCATTTGGAGTATACCTACCATTCCAGCAGCCAGCACAAGTAATTTTATATGAATGCTAGAATCATAATCTCTGGGGACAGATACAGGGGACCAGACACCCAGGAAAAGCCCCTGACCCAAGGGGGTGTATCTCTACTCCTCCACACTTATTTACCATCTGGTGCCCTGCATGCACCAGTCAAGCTGTTTAATCTCTAACTGCCTGGCTCTGAACAAGCACCTAGATTTGGCTATTGAGGGGCAGCTGGTGGGGCTGTCAGGGCTCTCCAAACTAAGATCTCAGACTGAATGGGGACTAGGTAAAGGGAAGAATGGGGTGAAGACAGCAGAGGTAAAAGGATATGGAGACCCCAGTTTCAATAAGATTGGGTGAGAGTGGTAGGAACTGAGGCAGCAAGAGTTGGGGGCAATTTAGCAGACTTGGGGATGGAGGATGTCCTCAGGCTGGTTGGAGACGGAAAGAAAGTATATGATAGGCTAGGAAGTTAGGGGTTGAGTCTGTGAGGACAAGACCTAGGACAGGGCTGTGATCAGTTATCAAGAAGAAAGGGGTGAGCTCAAAGCTTATCTACTTTGATGGTGGGTCTTAAATGAGAGTGGGACAGAGGTGGGGTGTTTAGGATGAGCAGGCCTTGGGGAGCTGAGCACCTTGGGGTGTGTGGGAGACTGGGATAAGAAGGCTGATCCAGAAAAAGGCAAACCAGAATGGTGGGTCTCAAGGAGATTTGCGTTGAGCATTAGGATTGCCAACGGGGTTGGGGGGTGAGGGTGAGATGTGTTAGAGGGCGGCGGAGGAATGTGGCAGAGATCCGGGTTGGAACTGGGGTCAAGGGTGAGGCTGCATTTACGCAAGACCGGTGGTGAGGGGGTGAGGGTAAGGGCTGGGGTCAGATCGCGGCGGGAGAAGACAGAGGGGACAGGCCAGCAGTGACAGTGCGGGCGGGAGGCTAGGATCGGAGGAGGAAGTGGGGGCACGGGGTTTGCGCTGGGAAGGGCGAGGGCTCTGAAGCAGGACAGTCTCAAAGCAAACAGGGGTTCGGGATTACGTCGAGGGCTGCTGGCCATCGCCCGTTCGCGCCTCGGCCCTCCGCCCCTCCGCTGCCCTCCACGCCCAGACCCCTAACTCACCAAAGGGAGTGGGGAGCGGGGCAGCGGGGTACTCCCGGCCACCGCAGCCGCAGAAGCTCCGACGCGACCCCGCGGCCTCCAAGTTACTGACAACAGCAAGCTGCGCCCAGGACGCCTGACGCCATCACGTAGGCTCAGCGTCCGGCCACGCCCCCGGCCCGCAGAGCCTATCGCGGAGCCGGAGGAGCCGGGGACGGGGCGGGGCGGGACCGGCGCTCCGGACGCCCAAGGTTCCCAGCGCCTGAGCGGTTCTCGGAGGCTCCGGGTCCGTTACGCCAGCGGGGTGCGGAGAGCAGAAGCCCCGCGTCTGGCGGAACGCGTCCTCGTTGCCTGCTTCCCGCAGGGTCTGCGTCAGCTGGGTTCTGGCATCTGGGTTCCTGACCTCTCCTGACCTCCGCACCACTGTGGGGCTGCCATTTGGCCTCCTTCAGCAAAGGTTGCCCACTTGTAGCGCGGGATCAGTAACCTCTACCCCATTTTTGCCTCGCCAGGGCATCAGCGCAGCCGGGGCCAGAGCTCAGGCCCCAGGTGGAGCCTCCCGCCTGCAGGCTCTCAGGAAAAACACACGTTTTGACCACACCTTACACTAAAAGGAAGCGCCGAGAGGCCCCGTGGGCATTCTCCGTTAACCAGCTAGCTCATCGGCGGGGAAACACAAAGCTCAACTAGACGCAGATAAATTTGTTTGATCATCATCGTAGAAGTGACATTTCTCTTTCAAATGGACTCAAAGCAAAAATAGCAGGGGATGTGCTGTGGTGCGATAGACGCTTCACAGTCGCTAGTATTGGTCAACTGGGGCCCGAGTGTGAGCAGGGATGCAGGGGCGTGAGCTAGACGCAGGCCCAGGGGGGCCCTGTGGGTGGCTACAGGGCTTGCTGAGGATCAGGACCGTTCTTGGAATCAAGCTGCCTTTCTGGGAATGAAGATGTCCCTCATGTCTCCGAGAGGGTCGAGGTCCCAGAACCTGTTTCCATTTATAAAATCAGCTGTTGGGGCGTGTCCCACCCCCATGGTGCAATTCTCTCTCTAGGAGTGAAAACCGACCCCTGCCCTAGGTTTTAGGCTAGATGAGTGAGTCCTAAATGCCTACACTGTGGTTAATGGTTGAGCAGGAAGATTAGAAATAAAAACTTAGTAAAATGTGAGACCCTATGCCCTAACCTAAGAGATGAGGGGGTCAGGGTTTTAATATTCGTGGTAAACAGAAGCTCCTACTGTTTGCCAGGTAAAAACTGTGATTTGTCCTCACCAAACCACCTGGAAGGTAGGTGCCTTTCTTAGTACAGATAAGAAAACAGGCTTGAGAGAGCTAACTTGGGGGCCCAAGACTGCACAACTAATAAATGCTAGAATCAGAATTCTCACCCAGCTCTTTCTGATTCTAGTTGGAGAGGGAGCATAGTTTCCTCAGTAACAGAGCAAGTGGGCTTTGGAGCCAGGAATGCTTAGGTTGGAATCCCAGCTCTACCCCATGCTGTCTTCTGGGCCTTCCCTAAACAGGGGCCCAGGGCAACCCAATAAATGGACTAAGACGATGACTGCCACAGTGTCTGTATTTTTCATAGGCCCCTTGAGATAATATTGAAGACAAGTTTCTCTTGATATTCAGAAAAGAGAAGTCAAGTCACACTACCCATGGCCCCAGGAAGAGGGGTCAGAGTGTATGAATTCATGGAAGTTTCAAAACCTCTCTGAGCCTCAGTTCCTCATCTGTAAACTGGGGAAGATATCAGCTGATGTGAGGATTAAATAAGATAATATCCTCAGGACAGTTTTGGGTCTGTCTAAGCACGTGAAGATGACTAGCTATTATCATTACAGTTCTGGCAATTCTCACCTTTCCAAGCCAGTCATGTCCTGGCTTTTAACTGCTCCTCTGAGCACTGGAGCGAGTCCTTTCTTGTTTGAACCCCGGATATACACTTATTTGCCATCTGATTGGAATCATCAAACAAGTATTCATGCAATCACCTCTCCATACTGGAATAGCTAGTGTTCTTCTGGGTTCTGTTGTAGGAAACTGGTCCTTCCCTTTATTTTTTTAATGGATTTAAAAGTTTTTATTATTTGTCAATTATATCTCAATAAAGCTAGAAAAAAGATCACAAGATGACAAACTAAAAAAACAAATCAAAAACAAAATTTATTCTACACATAGTTCAGTACAATTTTCGGGTAGCCTGAGGATGGGGTCGCTGGGCGGCAGTGTCACATGCTGTGGTTCCCTTGGCTCTTAGCCACCGAGTGCGTAGCCTGAATCCTTAACACTGAGAATTCGCCACGCAACCTGGGGTGAGAGGAAGGCCAAGGCTTTTATACTCTCCAAAGGAACAATTAAGCTATTCATTATTTCCTCACGTTAGACAAGAATTCTGAATTGCTGCCAATCACTTACATTTTGTAGAACAGCTCATCCTCAGCAGCGGAATCCTCGTCATATAGCTTCTGTGCCATGGTTTCTATGCATGTGGAACTGAGAGGTCTGTATAAATTCCTCAACCAAAGCGGCTGCCTTGTCCAGAAATTGTCCTCCTAGAGAACAGTCAGGGAAATATGAATTCTGCTTTTCCCCTGCTTTTCCCACCACAGTACTTTATCTTCCTCAAATTTACCTCCATCTTGCTTTCCGCTGAGTCTCTCTTACGCTGGAGAATTCTAAAAAAGCCCCTTGGAGTAAAACACATACCAACAATTAGTGAGTGATTCATGCCATTTTCCGTGTCTCTCACAATGTATAGCTCTGGTCTTACTAGGACTGAATTGGTACCTGGGTCTATTCTCAGGAACAAAATCAACATGTGGGACTTTGAAAATGATTCCTTGCATGTTGGGCTTCCAGAAGTTCTGTGGCTGTTTAATATGGCCCCACAATGTCTCTGGGAGACCTCTGCATGTGGCTTGGCATGGAGTATAGGCAGGATTTTAAGCCCCATTCACTTTCTTAGCCCTTGACCAAGTGCCCTC